TCACCGCAACCTCCGCCTCCTGGGTTCAGGCAATTCTCCTGCCTCAACCTCCTGAGTAGCTGGGATTACAGGCATGCGCCACCATGCCCAGCTAATTATTTTGTATTTTTAGGAGAGACGGGGTTTCACCATGTTGACCAGGATGGTCTTGATCTCTTGACATCGTGATCCACCCACCTCGGCCTCCCAAAGTGCTGGGATTACAGGCTTGAGCCACCGCGCCCGGCAAGTTTCTTATATTTAGGGAGATGTCTAGTGTTCTCATAAAAATCACTGAGTATACATTTCTATAGAATGACATTTAAAACCTCTATAGAGTGGGAAAATCACAAAGTAGAAAATATATAATATCTGTACTGGTGTTCCTAGGATTCCAAGCCAAATCCCACTACTCTCACACATCTTAGACATAGTGCAAAAAGGGAACTTAAAAATAGGTTAACAAAGAACTTCTAAAAAATACAGATATTCCTGTGTCCCCAAAGCAATGGAAGAACAAGCAGATCACACAGTCTGTTATAAGCTGTGAAGAGGACTTTGACTCTCACTGTAATCTTGAAGAAAGATCACTGAAGAAAAGTAGAGCCCTGAAAGAATTTAAGAGAGTGGGACAGAGGCATTCCTATGTAAGAGCAAGGGAAAGAAACTCAGGCTTCTCAGAAACCATGTTCATTGGAGCAGAGCTTCCAAAACCACATTTTAAGGTCTGGCTTCCTCCCTGATCTCTGAATCGCTCATCTGTATCACACATTTAATTTACTCCCACTTACCTGGTTGTTTGGCTACTGTCTCACGTTTCTTCACACTCCACGGCTCATTCCTTTGCTCTAGACAGGTGATCAGGTCTGGCTTAGAGATAGCAATACCTGTTTTATTTTTTAAAAAAAGGACCTGTTTTATTTTTTAAAAAGTAGCATGACTCTTGCTTGGATTCTCCAATTACCAACCTAGTGCTGTGTTCACTAGAGAAACAAGGACGTAACTGAAGATTCTAGAAAATAAATCACAAAGTACTGTTTCTTGACAGAGCCTTTAGAATATTTAGAAAGTATTTTAAATTTATGAGTCCCTCGCTTCACCACCTAATAGTACTGAATCAAAAATCGGTGGTGGCCACTAGGTTTTTTAGGGTGTGGGCAACATTATTTTATGACACTAAATTACTGGAATTATCACTAATCTAGAGTATGTGCATCACTTCAAGAAAGGAAGGTTAATGTCAAGATAAAATACCTTGAAGATTATTTTTTTCTATACCAACAAATCCCTAAATTTTCCTTGAAAGCAGAAATCTGAAACTCATTCATGTAAAGCAGAAATTCCCCAAAATATTCTACAGTGAAGGAAATAAAATCCTTCGTGTAAAACAGAAATTATGAAATGACATCATCCTCACCCAGGGAGACCAGATTTCTGTAGTTTTCTAACATCACATCCCTATACAGATTCTGCTGAGCAGGGTTCAGATAGCTCCACTCTTCAGGAGAGAATTCTATGGCCACATCCCTGAATATCAACAGTCCCTGGAAAAAAGAAAACACATACTTATCAAGTGTCCATGGTTAGAGTTCTTAATTTGATTCCAGGCACAAAGAGAGACAGACAGAATTGGTTCTTACTTACAGAAGAGACTGAAATGATCAAATAATTGTAAACACAGAAATGTTCTCTAATGTATTCTCTAACTCCTAAAGGATGGCATAAGATGCACATAACCAGTATCGATGATCTACTTTTGTGAATACAGCATAAAATTAAGGGCATCAACACAGGCATATATATTTTTTTCCCGCTATATTTATATCACACAGGATAAGTCGTAAATATTTCTCATATGTAGAAGTCATGATTCATCAGAAAGTACCCCTCAAATTTTAATGTGTACACAATAAACTAGAGATCTTCTGAAAATGCAGGTTCTGATTCAGAGGACCTAGGGTGAAGCCTGAGTTTCTCAATTTCTAGTGAGCTATACAGTGATGCCAATGTCTGGCCCAAGGAAAATATTTTTTCCAACATACAGGAAGTGGGAGAGCCTGTGTTTGTTTCAGTTTCAGTTTATCTAATCAGTAAACAAACATGAGAGCCTTCATTTTTCAAAGCAAGCTACAAACAAGGAGAATCTAAAAAAGAAAGAGCTTCCTAATTAAATGTGATTGATGGCTTATACACATCAGTCAGTAAATCTCCCCAAGGTACTAAATAATAATGAGAAAAATAACTCTACAGTGGAAAAATCTGATCAACTGTAATAGGATAAATTGATATCAACGTTCACACACAGGAGGACACAAAATCACCGCTCTAATATTATTGGCCACAAAAATTGTAAATTATAATCCGAATCTAATCATGTAGCAACATCCGGTTTTTTTCTTTTGTTTTTTGAGACAGAGCCTTGCTCTGTTGCCCAGGTTGTAGTGCAGTGGTGCAATCTCCACTCACTGCAACCTCTGCCTCCTTGGTTCAAGTGATTCTCCCACCTCAGTCTCCCTGGTTCAAGTGATTCTCCCACCTCAGTCTCCCAAGTAGCTAGGATTACAGGTGTGTGCCACCATGCCCAGCTAATTTTTGCATTTTTGGTAGAGATGGGGTTTCGCCATGTTAGGAAGGCTGGTCTTGAACTCCTGACCTCAAGTGATCTGCCCACCTCGGCTTCCCAAAGTGCTGGGATTACAGGTGTGAACCATAGTGCCTGGCCAGAAACATCAGTTTTATGCAAAGTTCAACTGATAGATATTTCCCAGGTTCTTTAATCTCTAACAGTGTATTTCTTTTTTTTTTTTTTTTTGAGACGGAGTTTCACTCTTGTTACCCAGGCTGGAGTGCAATGGCACGATCTCGGCTCACTTCAACCTCCGCCTCCTGGGTTCAGGCAATTCTCCTGCCTCAACCTCCTGAGTAGCTGGGATTACAGGCACGCGCCACTTAACAATCTATTTTAATCAATACTAACAACTTCAATGGCAAACTAAAACTCTATTTCTACACAGCTCCACTCCTCTGCTTTATGATATTGATATCACAATTATATCTGTATTTATTTTATTACCATTAACAAGGACTTATTATTATGTTTATTCAATTGCTTCTAAATCTTATAAAAAATAAATAGTGAAATTATATACCAAAATCTTGACGTTGGGCATTATATTTTGCTGATGTATTTATCTTTACCAGAGATCTTTATATTCTTATATGATGACGATGAGTTATTTTCTTGCATCCTTTCATTTTGCTCTATAGAACTCTCTCTCTCTAGCTTTTCTTATAGGGCAGGTTTAGTGCAACAAACTGCCTCAGGTTTTTTTTTTTTGTCTTGAAATATTTTACTTTCAGTCTCATTTTTGAAGGACAGTTTTACCAGCTATTAAAATTTTGAGTGACAGGTTTTTTTTTTAATTAATAACTTTAGACATACCACCTGTCTGCTTTGCAGCCTCCAGTGTTTCTCCTGGACACTCCACTGATAATTTTAACAAAGAGCTGTTGTTTGTGACAAATATTTTCTCGTTTTGTTTTGTTTTCATTTTTATTTGTTTGATGTTGTTTTTAAGATTCACTTCTTGGCTTTGACTTTTGCCAGTGTGACTATATCTTATTGTGGGTCTCTATGCATTTATCATACTTGGACTTCATTAAGCTTTTTGGATTTGTAGATACACGTTTTTAAAAAATCAAATTTGGCAAATTTCTTTATTTTTAAAAATACTCTTTTTTTTCTTATTCTATGACACCTATAATGGGTATAGTGGTCTGTTAAATGATACCCCTTAAATCTCTTACTCTCTGTTCGCTTTTCTTTATTCTTTTAAACACTTTATTGTCTTCTAGCTCAATAATTTCAAACGGCCTATCTTCCAGGCAGCTGTTTTTTTTTTTTTTTTGGTAGCAATAATAAAATTTTCAGTTGTGTTATTTAACTTTTTATCTCTAGAATTTGTTTGGTTTACCTTTATATTAATATTTTCTATTTGTTGATATTCTCATTTTGTTCTATGTATCACCCAATTTCCTTTAGTTATTTTTCTGTTTTATTCCTTTAACTTTTTGGGCATATTTAGTACAGTTATTATTTGTGCTCCTTCGTGAATAACCTCTAAAAATTCATAATTTTTCTTCAAATGGATTGTGATTTTTTGAAAACTGAGCATTTGAAAAAACAGCTACCTCTCCCAGTCTTTGAAGATTGGCTCTGTGCCAAGGCAATTCTCTATTTATTAACTGTGCACTTTAAGCGTTGGGATTAGCCTTAGGTAAAGGCTTTGGGTCTTCTCAGGTCTTTTAGAGCATGAATTTTTCCTGGGTTATTGTGTGGCTTTTCTGTTTTCCCATATATGTGGCTACTTTTGAATGTCTTAATGTCCTGAAGAGTCCCATTCCAAATTTTCTTGACTGCTTTACTTAACTGGAGTATTTTTATGATTGTAGGGAGACAAACTTGCTAGCCTGCTGATGACCTGGTGAATCTAGCTTAAGTAAGTTTATCCTTACTTCCCCCAATACCTCTACAAACATATGAATCCAAAGGATATGGGATTTCTTTTCTTTAGTGCCATTTACACTGTGTTCAGTTTTGCTCAGCTCAAGCTCTCCTCTTTTTGGTCTGACAAGTTTCAGTGGTACCATGTACTATCCCTATTGTTGTTGTTGTTGTTGTTTTTTTTACCTTGTATCATGAGTCACTTGTGGTGGTTTTTTTTTTTTTTTTTNCCCAGCTAATGTTTTGTATTTTTAGTAGAGACGGGGTTTCACCATGTTGACCAGGATGGTCTCGATCTGCTGACCTCGTGATCCACCCGCCTCGGCCTCCCAAAGTGCGGGGATTACAGGCTTGAGCCACCGCGCCCGGCAACAGTGTATTTCAAAAGTGTTTTAGTATCCTAAACAGGAGTGTCTTCTAATTATTCTCTTTTCAGAACTTTAAGTTATTCCAGGCAATTAATGCCATCCTCTTTAAATGTCCCTTAATTCTGTTCTGCATAGAGCTGACAGAGCATGTGGATGAAATCTAAACAGTACATAGTCCCCTTCTTCACTGATGCCCCAAGACCCAACCCCAACCCAGTGGGAATCTTGGACATCAACACTTTTCCATGTTGATCTGTCACAGAACATTTTTAATACTGCCCATCATACATTGATGGTAAGATTTGGTCATGACATGTAAGAAGCCTGGATGGAGGGAATGGAGAGAAGATTCTGGTGTATAGGAGTAAGGATTTTACAGAGCTCCTTGATTAACAATCTTAAGAAAAAAAAAAAGGGGGAAAGTAGTTGGAAAAAACGTATTAAGCAGGCACATCAGAGTACAGAAATAAAGGTTTGCAAGTTCTCAACACATGACATTCCAAAAGAATAAGAGGATACATCCCCTGATCCCGGACACATTCACCTGAGAACCAGCCATTTCTTCCTCTTCTTCCTTCTTCTCTGGGATTCCTTCTCAGGTGAGATTATCTGGACAAATCACACCTGCATTTGAGAATATGCCTTTAAAGGTGTCAGCACAACCTTTTCACCTGCAACCAATACACCTACAGGCAGAAGGTCCTGAAGCACAGAGGAGGGCACACTCCCTTATTCTTTGTCACAGAAGGGAGAAAAAATGAGCTCCCACACAAAGACCAAAAATTTCCTGCCTTCAGGTGATCTCCCCTGCCATGAACTCCCACAATTAAGGAAATATGGACCTTGGTGACCTACCCCTACCAAACCCAAGTAGAACAGGTCCTCTGACCTCCTTTTGGAACTAAAGTCCCGTGACTATATCTGGGAGCCCTCAAGCTTGACTCTGATCTCACCTTAGAATCATGGCGGGGGGGCACTTATTTAAAACAACAATGATGCCTCCATCCAGACCACAGACAAGATCTTTGGAGAAGGCATGCATGATGGTAGTTCTCTAAACTGGCCATGTGATTCTAACTGGAAGCCTGGGCTGAGAACTACACAGCTGAGCACTGTCTCTCAGGCTTCAATGTACATAGAAATAATTTGGTATTCTAATTTGATATTCCAGGCCCCACTCTAAGTAATGTTTCTGCAGGTGTGAAAGGGGTCTGTAAATTGGCTTCTTTATCAAGTCTTCTGATACTGTTCCCCTTGGACTCCTTATCAGCAGCACTCAGCTAGAGAAGGCAAGCACAGCACAGAGTTCCTTCCAACACTGATATCACAACACAAATGCTTCTGACTGCAAGTGAGGACCACCAATGGCCATCTTGAAAAAATAGCATTCTCTGCTGAACCTTTAACGTTTACTATAGTCTAGAGAAGGCAGCAAAGTCTGAGCAAGTCTGCACTGGGAAAACAACATGGACACGTGCATTAATGCAATGTTTATGGAACACCCACTACATGCTCAGAAGTATGTTACAGAGGACGGTGCTGAAAACATAAGTGAGGTAATTCCTCTGACACCCAGGGAGGTGGGCACCAAGTGTTCCATAATCCCCAGGGTTTACATGAAGGACCCAGCTTTTATTTTCCTGTTTCTCCATCACTGATTTTTAGGAAAAAAAATGTAGAGAGTCATTTTTTTTTCTAGAGACGGAATCTGCTCTGCCACCCAGGCTGGACTGCAGTGGTGTGATCTTGGCTCTCTGCAACCTCTGCCTCTGGGTTCAAGCGATTCTCCTGCCTCAGTCTCCAGAGTAGCTGGGATTACAGGTACCTGCCACCATGCCCGGCTAATTTTTTATATTTTTAGTAGAGATTGGGGTTTCACTGTGTTGGCCAGGCTGGTCTTGAACTCCTGACCTTGTGATCCACCTGCCTCAGCCTCCCAAAGGGCTGGGATTACAAGGGTAAGCGGCCATGCCCGGCCAGAGCAGCAGATTATTAACCCAGAGGAGGTATCACCTGTCCCTAATTGGCTAAATCTTGAGTCAGAGCAAGGACAATAGTGCTTCCATATCAACTTTATAGATGAGTGTGGCTGTGACCATGGCTCTGCACATTTTGTGGCCCTAAGCTTCCACTGCTGAGGTTCTTGTTTACATTTACAGATTCTGTCACCAGGCACTTGTTATACCAGGAGCTTCTCACGCAACTCTAACAGGTCCCCGGATTTGGAAAACTCAAAGGGTGCCACTCTGAAAATGGGGCTTTAAGGCATCTATGTTGGCCAGGCACAGTGGCTCATGCCTGTAATCCCAGCACTTGGAAGGCCAAGGTGAGAACAGCATGAAGCCAGGAGTTGGAGACTATCCAGGGCAACATAAGTGAGAGCTCATCTCTACACAAAATAAAAAATAAAATTTGCCAGGTGGGGGGGTTTATCCCTGTAGTTCTCGCTGTTGAGGAGGGAGGATCACTTGAGCTCAGCAGTTTGAGGCTGCAGTAAGCTATAAATGTGCCATTGCACTCTGGCCTGAATGAAAAGAGCGAAACCATATCTCAACAAATAAAGTTAACAAAAGCTTTAAAAAAGGGGAGAAGAGCAAAATTTATTCTCTTATTTTCTGTTGGGGAATTAAACCTCTTATTTCTAGCTCCTTTCAGTAGAAAGAGCTCCTTTCATACTTGGGGTGTACAGACACCTGCAGGGAGAGGCTCCCCAGGAAGAACTAACTGGGCTTCAATGACCTACCACAGCCAAGTCAAGTTCAAATATCCATGCAAGTTCAAATATCCATGGTCTTGAACTCATGGCTACTTGAATTTCAGTAGGTCTGGATTCCGGTACTTGAGGGGGAGCCCTGGACAAATTGTGCATATCAAAGAGGGTTTGTGGGAAAGAAAAAGCAGAGAAGTGCTATCATGTGCCCATGTTAAGTACTCAGTACAAGGTTAGTAAAGAAGCGGTTTGTGCTACAGATACTGGCCCAAGTGGGGTATGCTCCAGCTCATTCTTGTGTCCATGGAGGCAGATGAGATTACGGCCACAGAGTCCAAAAGCCGGGTGGGGGTGGGCTGGAGGGACCAGGTTGCTGGGGTGGGGATAGGCCAGGAGTCTTCTAGGCACCCATGTGGGTTTTTTATGGAAAACTCTCAAAGCAAAGGTGTCGTGATGGGACTCCTGAGGGTGACGCCTTGTCCTGGAAGGGACATGGCCATGTCAGTACCTAGTGGGTATGTTTACAAGTAGGTGAAAATCATGTAGTGGCAGCAGAGTGAAGAGAGGGGTGTGTCCGCAGAAGTCTTTGCTTCTAAGTCCTCTCTGACCCTGAGAGGAGAACTGGAATCAGAGGAGAATGTGCAACATGCATGCAGGAGAACAGAACCTCCCATTCCTGAGACACCCTGAGATGCCTCCAGCCCAGGCCACTGTGACGTGTTTTTTCTGACATCAAATGTGTGGAGTTGCTGAACACCAACAGGGTGTCCAACAACTCAATTCTGACACCACCCAAAGTTGACACAGACCCCACAGGTTCAGGACTCAGTCCCACAACACTCCCACCACTGCAGAGGCCAGTCACATGTCCCCGGGGCCCACCAATGCTTCTGGGCTACTGCCTATATATCAGAAACTCCCAGAGCCAGGCACGGTGGCTCACACCTATAATGCCAGCACTTTGGGAGACCGCGGTGGGCAGATCACCTGAGGTCAGGAGTTTGAGACCAGTCTGGCCAACCTGGAGAAACCCAGTCTCTTTAAAAAAAAAAAAAAAAAAAAAAAGAAACTCCCACCACCCTCTCCTCAAGTTCAATAATTTGATAGTGCTAGTCACAGAACTCAGGAAAACAATGTACTTATGCTTACCAGTTTATTATAAAAGATAACAACTCAGGAACAGTGAAATGGAAGAGCTGAATATGGCAAGTGAAATTGGTGGGGTGAATAGCTGTGATTAATGAAATCCTTCGGCTCTGTGTCCAAGAACAGCTTAATAAAAAGCAACACTTGCCTCATTATAACCTAGATGATGCTCCCTCTTATACCTGCCACAAAGCCAGGCACAGATAATTCCCATTTTTTCCCTATAACCAGTCAACAATTTTGTCTTTAGTTGTTAGAACAAAATACTTACTAACCAAACTGCTTAAGATTCTCTCCTTTCTCCCAGGCCCCTGGATTTGTGCCACCCTATGCTTGAGCTAACACAGAACTCCTATTTATGACCCTCCTAAGAACAGGCCACTTTGGGAGTAAAACTTTTTCTCATCAGGATCTGATTTGCCACCCTGCATCTGGTCCTCTCACTCTCACCTTTTACTCAGGGTTGTTCCTCCGTATGAAAGAAAGCCCTTGTCTGCCTAAGCTTTGAGATCCTGGAAGGTACCACAGCTGGTGCTTTCCCTCTGTTGTAACACTCCTTTAGAATTAAGTAACTTCTTACCTAAATGTGAATTTGTTTTATTTGACAAAGTCTAGAAACAGCCCCAGAACAGTAACAATTCCATCCTCAGAAAGAGCCTCCTGACTTCACTTCCATTCCCACCCAACAGCACCCACTTGTGGATCCCAGCTCTCCAGGGCTCTATAGCTCTTCACCACATCAAGGGCTCCTTTCATGCTGGGGTGTGTAGACTGGGACACCTGCAGGAGAGGCTCCCCAGCAAGAACTAACTGGGCCTTCAATGACCTTCTTTTGCAGGCTCAAGATTGGCCTTAACTTAAAGTCACTGGGCTCAGACTTCTGTTTTCCAGTCAGGATTATTCACTTAGTTTTTATGAGAAAATGCCCAGTGTTTGAAGAATCCAGCAAAACCACTCAAACACAGTGTTTACCTATGAGAATAAAATTATAAGGCACTTATATTTTATACCTCAATAGAGAGAAGTGTCTATTAGTTTCAGACAATAAACTCATCAAATTATTTCCATAATTCAAATCACTTAGTAAACACACATATGAACATATCTAGGAGATGCCAAGTCCCATCCTCTAAAATTCAATATTAAACTCACACATCTAAATAACAGAGATATCAACTCCAAATTCTCCACCCTTTAAAAAAGAGGAACTAATATTTTGACAAATCAGTGTAATTTACCAATTAATCTACTACATTTATTTTGTGGAAATGTATTCATTTCCTACAGCCACACTGGAAGAGAGATTTTCCCTATCACTTTCCCTGGTAGCATTCCCACAGCTAAGCCCTGGGATTCTGTTTACAATCACCCTCCAAAAAAGAACAGGCCTGACAAGCTTACTACACTCACTCTAGCGAAGAAAAAGGTAAATCAGTGAATATTTGACTATATATTGAATGTCTTTTCTGAAATCCACCTCTTAAACATTTTCTTACTTTTGAAGCTCTACTGTTAAAATGCTATAGACAGTTAATAAAAAAAAAACTAAGGTTGAATTAAGTGAAAAAAGTTTTCAAGGTGTAAAACCCACGAAGTGGCAATGCTGACTGGTGCACAGACAAATTTGACTCAAGTGCCAAGTCAGGCCATCCTATCACTTGGGACGTTCTTCTGTTTCCCCACTGCCCACTGACTGCGCAATGCTTGCCCTCCCTGCTTGCCCAGGAGCCACTACATTGTGTCCCACTGTGTGCCCCAAGAGGTTTGGCTTTGCAGATTCTTGCACCACCTCACTGGAGTGGGTTTTCCTTGTCCTTTGGAACAGTTTTTTCCCCTTCACAAGTCTGAGAGGATCCAGATGTCAGAAATCATATCTGTCTTTTCCTCTCAATATCGGCATCCAACTGGCTGACCAGCAGTGTGTCTCCAAGGAACAGAGAAGCTGGAGTTGGGTGAAGACAATCTTAACTTCCTTGGGTGGGCTTTGTAAACTAAGGGTAGAACGAGATTTCTCTCAGCCCCAGGGCATCCAGCTGCTCCCTTAAGAGGCTCCACCTCCGTCACTGAGGTTGTCCTCTGGGAGGAAAGGAACAAGAGGTTAATATCCACTAAACATTCCCTGAGACAGGACTGCTGGGGGCACCCTGGGTCACACCTAGACAATAATGAAACCCAGGCACAGAAAAAGACTGAAGGGTGTCTGGGGACACACTACCTTGTAACATTTCCAAAGCGGAACCTCAAACCAAAGACATTCTGATAAGGTGTCTGTGCCTGGGGACGATAAAAGGCACAAAAATTTTTTTTAAAAGCAGAGTGTCAGGAGATTCTTCTCTGTTCACATAAAATGTCTCCAAACAGAAAACAGATGTCTAAAAAAAGTGCCATCCAATGCTGTGTGAAAAAGTGATTAAAATGCTGTGTGTGAAATGTACAATAAAGGACAAAGAGGCTGGGAGGACAGGATGGTGAATGTGAGGCCCTGCCTGCCTGCTTGCCACACATCTGGATACGCAGTGGAAACCAGCCCCCTCCGGAGTGTTTAAAGTCATTAACTAGCAGTCACTAGTCAGATGAAGCAGCACTAGTGCCATGGGTTCCTAAGGAAAGGAATCTAACTCAAACACACGTCTTGTAAATTACCACCTTAGGGGAAAACAATATTCAGGCTGGACCAACCACAAACCTCCAACGAACCTCTCCTTACAGAACCAGGAAGTTTCCACCTGGACAGCCCCAGTGAAGCGACCACCTGACTGCACCCGGTTCCGAACGCGGTTCGCGTCCCCACGCACCTCACGAAGCCGTTGCTCTGGACACCCGCAAACCCCAGCTGGGCGCTCTGCACGGATGAACAGTTCCTTGCTCAAATAAACTCTAACATTTAAACCGCGGCTCCCTTTACATGTTTACCAGGGAAAAGGAGGGCCTGGGACCCGCAGCGCCCCCACCAAGTGGCTCCCCCGTCGCCACCGCGCAGCCGCGAGCGCTCGGCTGCGGGCGAGGGCCCCGGCCGGGCGGAAGTCGCGCGCTGAAGCGGACCGGACGCCGGGTGCGGGTGGCGGCCCAGCCCACATCACGTCCCGCGGCCAGGAGAAGCCGGGCGCCGCGCGGGTCCGGCGGGGTATCGGGTCCGCAGACTCCGGAGGGACACGTGGGGAGGCCTGGGGCCGTCCGGCCAGTTCCAGCCGTTTCCCTCAGCCCCGCCCCCACCTCGGGACCCCGGGCATATACCCACCATTTCCCCGCTTCCCGGCTGTCCAGGCCTCTTAGCTATGGATCTCCTGATACCTGCAGGACACAGGGCAAGAGCTGCGGCGGTCACCTGCGCGTCCCCGAGCAGAGCACGCGGAGCACAGAAGACGACCGCCGCGGACTAGGCGAGACGAAGGCCCCGCCACATCCCGGAAGCCGCGCCCTTCTGTCCGGCTGCGCGCCTGATTGGACCGTTCACGTCAGCGTCCCTGATTGGATAGGGCTCCAGTCCCCGCCCCCTCAGGCCCTGAGTGACGGAGGGTGTGATCAGACGCTGGGCTGACGGCGACAAAGTAACAGGTTCTTGGCTGCAGCCTTTCCATGCAGGGCTTTCTCGTTGCCCTGGGCCTCGCCCAGCCCAGGGACTATTTTCCTTTAACGTTTGTATAAGGTTATATTCATTGATAAACAATATATATATATGTTATTCGCAAATGAAAACAATATAGTGGCAAGGACTTTAACACTTTAGACTTTGGGACCTTTCTGGCCTCTGGTAATTTGATCAGGCAGCCTGAAATTTCATAAAGGAGACAATCCTTTAAGAAATAAAATGTAAGCCACGAGTGAATTTTAAATTTCCTAGTAGCCACCTTTAAAACATTAAAAATAAGGCCGAGCGAGGTGGCTCAAGCCTGTAATCCCAGCACTTTGGGAGGCCGAGGCGGGCGGATCTCGAGGTCAAGAGATCAAGACCATCCTGGTCAACATGG